GTCTGTATAATTTAGTGCCTGAAGGAGAGAACCTGTTTGTGTGTGTGTGAGTACAAGAATATTGCACATGTGCATGCAAATGTTTAGTGGTTGGAGGAAAAGTGTACAAAGTAAAAAGACTAACATTAGTTGACTGGGAGATGTCTGTGATATACAACTAGCTATGACTGAGCTTTGTTTCATTATGAACACCACTTTTAGGCTACAAAGGACCGTTTTCTGTTTCTTTCTACTGGAAACAGTTTTTCAGCTATAAGTAGGGGGCCTCAAATCTCTAAAAAAAACAAAACACACACACATGCATGCACTACCCATGTGCCATAATCAAAACAGGGTTTGCAATTCAGCAAAATGAGACTGTCTTATGGATTCTGGCAGCAATGTGAAACGCAGCGGAGTCATATTTTTGTGCAGCACAGGAACCAGCTGTGATGTGAGGCTAAAGTTAGCATACCTCAGTCAGTGGCTACAGTTTCAGCTTGGCTGAAAAACATGGGAGGAAACTGGACCAGATAGAAACTTTTAATAGGTTCAGCTTATTGAAGCTCAGATCTGACAACTCTCTCAGCAGAGATCCGGAGGGCCAAGTGGCTGAACACAGTACTGCACTTCCTGTATTTTACTATAGCCTACAACAGAGTCAAGAGAGTCAAGGTGGAAATCCTTTGGCTAGTAGTGCCCTGCAAAAAAAAATCATAGAATTTTTTAATATGGTTGCTGGATGTTTAACTGTTTGCTAACATGTTCGCAACTCAACATTTACAGAGTTCTGACTTGTTAGGAGCTGTTAGTATTTTCCCATTCTGGACTCTCATTTCAAAATTTCCCTAAAATGATATCTGCAGTGTTACAACATGGAAACACAGTATCAGTAATCGAGACAGCTGAGGAGCTCTTGTGATCTTCACAGGTAAGAAAGTGAGAATGCTGTGCCAAAGCCTACATGTGGTTATAAAGGCTGATGGGCTGGTTCGTACGGCTCAGCTGATTGGTCTGTCCCCTGACAGATGTGGTGATAATGGAGCTTCCCTGATTGGTCATGCCAGAAGGTGCTTGTGAGATACCTCACTCAGTTTTAAGAGAACCGGGGTTACCTTGGTAACCAAACAACTTGGACCTTTGACTTTTTATCTTTTTCTCAGCTCTATAAAGTGATATGTCAGAAATTTAGCTTTTAGTTCACTGGGTGCCCCCAAGAGGCTAAAAATCATTTAATACATCTTTAAAATCCAAATATTTTGTTATTCAATAATATTGAATTGCTACATTACAATTGATATCAGAGATGTGCCAGCTGTCTCCAAAGGACAGAATGTGAAGCTTAATGTCTATTTGGGCCCAGCTCGATGCTGGACATGCTCTTATTCTTTCAGCAACATTATATTTATTTGCCATGGGTCAGGAAGAAGTGCTGCACACAGCCTGTTAATCTGGTCTCAGCCTCCTCTGATTTTGTAAACCAGCCAAAAAGTTCCAGAACATCTCACTTAACTTAATTCAAGTAATCATGCTTAGGACCAAAGGTCTGGTCTAAATTGGTCTAGCCTCCCCAGTGTCACTGTTTGGAGTCATGTCAGCCAAAAGAAAAAAAAGCATCATTTAATTTCAGCTTGTGTTTGTTATGCACTGTTGTCTGGGACAAATGCAATCAGTGACTAAATGGATTAGCAAAAAGAAAAACAACAACTCTGTGTTCCAGGCACCCAAAGGGGAAAGTTGGAAATGAAAATAATTACATCATGATCTGCATTATGGCTTGATGAAGTGTTTGAGTATTTGTTTATGAATCAAAAAAATGTTTTTTGTCATGAGTTGGACACAAGCATATATCAGTGAAGGCAGTCTGGCAATAAGGAAACACATCACAAAGGCCTAAAAGGGGCCTGAAGGGTTTGAGACATGTGGACCAGCCAACCCAAACCTGAGCTGGCATAAAAAGAGACCATTAGCCTTAACCATTAGCCTTGGCCTTTTTCTTTCATACTATAATTCGAACAAACCTTACAATCTACTCCAAGACACGCTGTGTACAGCTGTCTCCAAGGAGCTCTAATCAAAAACAAAGACTTTTGCATTACACTCATCTCAGTGGTCTCCCCCTGAAAACCTCCAGCCAGGGGTCCACATGGTCTGTATCATTTATGAGCTCACCAGAGACGAGTCATGGCTTCACCGCAACTGAGCCAAGCCTAACACATCATTATTACAGCTCATTGTTCTAAACCAAATCCATACAGGAGGTATAGTACCCACTCTGAACCATCACACTGTGACTGGCCTGGTGTGAAAACTCCCAGAATGGTAAATAAATCATCAAACAACCATTAGAGTTTTGTGAATTATTATGAAAATTTATTGGATATTAACAAGTATACAAAGATCATGCGTATTTAGAGCATATACATTTCAAAAACAAAAGGCAACAATAACAGCAAACCATAAGTTTTATACATTTACAACACCAAAAAAAGGTAATCAACATGGAAAACATCAAACTCTTAGAAAAATGAAACATGAACAATGATAAAACCATGTAACCCCCCCAAATAAAACTGCAGTATAATCTATGATCTTGAAATTTAACATAAGCGCAGAAAACACACACACATACAAATTACACATTCATAGAAAAACATGAGGTAGACAAATGTTTGAAAAAAAACAAACAATCAATAACTAGTTATATGGATTTGTGCTCCAATCGCAGCTGTTTTCAGAACAGCATTAGCTGTAAGTATGAGTCTTACAGTGGAACTCTGCCTTTTACTACATAAGCACAAGTGTTGTAACAATCATTATTTCATTTTGATGGCATATTCTTGCTTAGACCTATTTATAGTCATGAGGGGAAAGTGACACGAGGTTTTCCCAGCATGCTCTGTAGCGTTAGTTTGAGAGAAAGAATATCCTCAAATGATCTAAAATGAGAAAATCAGATTCTGAACATAGCTTGAGACCCATCTGTATGAAAGCATGACACAGAGGGGTGGATGGGATAATACAGTTTTGTTGCTTACAATAAGGCTGCTTGACATCAGCAACGGTGCACATACATCAGTGTCACTGAATAAAGGTTTCAAATGGGTTTTGGCACAGACACATCTGGACTGAGGCCTGGTAAAGCAAACAAGTTCTAATGTTCCTTCAAAAGCAAATGGCTCTGATAAAAGATAATAAAAATGATTTCTCAATTGTTATTGAAAACAGTTGAGTTTCCAGAAACAGAAGAAGACATTATGGCTGAATACATGTATATAGTCTACTTTCTTATTCCAAATTTACTTTAACGATTATAATCAGTGGTTTATCATTGGCGTATTGTTTTCATTATTAGGGGATAAATGTCGTAGTTTATGACAATAGGAGAAACAGGACAGGTTGGGGGATCTGGTTGTGTTATGCTGTGACAACTGAACTTTACATATTATGACAGTCGTTGCTACAGCTTATATTCAGAGCTGAAATTGATATTTGGTTCAAATATATAAATGTAACATGATTTATTTACTTCATATTAAATATTTTTGTGAACACATGACTTATACAAAACAGTAATCTATCTGCAACAGGAAGAAAATAAAAAAATCCATCCAAATACTATGTAGATGACAAACTATAGTAATGTTTAAACACAACATAGGAGTTGTAGTCCGCTTACAGGGAAAATAATCCGCTGGTAATGCTTTGTTTGAACAGCACTTACCTATGATGTTCATTTCAAACTCCTAACATGTTTTATGACACTTTATTTAATAAAGACTGATATATAAAAGTTGCACAGGCAAATAAAGCACATCAGTCTTTAAGATTAACGATTCCTTTTTAAATTTAGTCATATATATTCTAATTTATTGGTTAATATGTCATAATACATGCCATGAGGCCTTTTGAAATATCAAAACAAATTCCAACAAACAGGTTATTTACAAGCACATCCACAATTCACAGTACTTACACACATAGAAGATATAAATTTCTCTGGGTAAATATGTTC